ATATATATATATATTATACGGGGTCGAGTTGACCCCGACCCGACCCAATAGGGACCATGCCAGAACTAGACCCAGTTGCCAACCCTAGGGGCATTCTCATGGCGATTTTGGCCAATTGGGAAAGAAGAATTAGAGGGGAAGGGGAGAGAATGCAATACTTGGTTTCCCTTTAGACAACCAAAATGGATGGACAAGATGTAAATATAAAAATTACAAATATAATTTATCTTAATATGTTGACTATACAAAATATAATATTATTTATATTACAGTTATAAGAAGATTGGGTATTAGGACCCTGCAGATAAGGAAACACAAGATCCAGGATCTTGGACTTGGACCTAAGCCACCAATCTCGTTATCAACAAACCCGATTGACAGCCTCGCTCATCAGGATCAAACACCCCATTTGGATGGCTCGAGAACTCCATTAAAGAATGCGGTTACCTATAAATACGTGAAAAGCTGATTCTTTTCACACAGTTGTGTTTCAGTGGGATTTTCTTAAGAGCTAGGGGGTAGAAAGGCCCATGGCATTTAACACCATAGCGGTTCCAAATGTCTCCTTGATGCACTCCTAAACAGGTAGGAGAATAAATGGACTTATTTAAATAAGTGGTCCGTCCATATGCGGCCAAAGCCATTATGAGAATCAGTACTGAACATATTCTACTACACAAAATAAAATTTGTCAGGCAAATATAATAGCTTCTGGAACTAAAAAAGCAATCATGCAAATATGATTGTTATAGAGAGAAGGAAGGTGACAAGGTAGAATAACATATAACAGGATTTAAGAATCATTAAGCTCATTCGGAATTGCCGGAGTCTGATAGGGATCGCGAACAATTCCAGTCCGAAAAACCACAAAATATGGTTTTTAGCATTTTCTCTAATTTATTTGTTAGATATGGTCCAACAGACTCAAGAGTCCCCCCAAGTCGGACGAGGCAAATTAGAATTGGACCCCCAGCAAGTTCGATTACAATTTTTTTAAAAGTCATATATAATTAGCGACGCCTGTTTTATATCAAACAAAAATATATTGAATGCAAACAAAATTGATTCTGTTCAAAATAACAAATAGAAAAAACATGTATATTAAAACATCCCAATGACTACTATGAAGCATCTACAAATTTGTAGAGCTCAACTCAGGGATCAACAAAACCCAAATTTGAAAGCGCCGATAAATAAACATGCTTACTAGGTAAGAGTAAGATAAAGGGTTCACCAGCCAGGTGTATATCGTGAAGACCTCGAATCCAATACCAACTATCCAGGTTTTGGGACGGAATTCATGCATACCTTGTTGCATGATATAAGAAAAAGCTAGTTTCATATAAGCAAACAATTCACAAATCCTTCAATATGATCATAGTATTGCATATAAAACGACTGAAAATACGTTAATTAAAAAAAATGAAATAACGATAATATAAACCGATCTAAAATAGTTGGGATAAGGCTCGGATGCTAATGATGACGATGAAATAAAGAGAATGAATATAGGTCCTTGAAGGGAGAGAGTGCATCAAGCTGTTCACAAGGGGCCAACTTGATCCTCTTCCCCAGGGATCCCAGATGAGGTAACCCTAGGAGAGCCGTCTTGAACAAAATACAATATGTTTTCAAAGACATTTTGAATATAGGTCCCTCCAACCGATCTCATTGGAGGTACAACAGCATGTCAATCAAATTAACATCATGAGGACACTGGAAGGGTTCTGACTTCTGATTAACTATTTTACTCATTTTCCAAAATACAAAAATGGATTTACCACAACCAGTTTCCAACAATAATCTTCTCTCCAATGTTGAGAAAAAAATATTTCAAGAAATTGCATCAGGCATGAAATGTATAAGCATGAAATCCCCACATTTTCTAGCACAAACAGAAGGTCCACTTCAAAAATTAGAATCCAATCTACCATCTTGCTCCTCATGAAAAATATCAGATTAGATGACCAACCATCAACATCCAGCAAAAGTGAAGCCTCCAATGAAATCTAAACCCCAGATGAAGATTGTCTAAGCACAAATCATATCTGATTGTGAAATCTAAGCCCCAGACTCAGACCGTCTAAACTCGAACCATATCTCGTAATGATTGAACAAGAGGCTATCATGAGTATGTTTCCCAACATACTCGAGACCAAGCCCTTTAAGCCGTTGTGCACACTCTTCTCCACGCAATCTGGTACAAAACTTTATATTGTGAGAAACAAAAATGCGCCCTTTGTATGGCCTCAATCTCGAAGCAAGCCTTTCAAGGCCAACCCAAACAAGAGCATCTGGCATATGGAGAAAAACTGCACTTGCATAAATAAGATCATATGTGACCCCTGACCCAAACCCACTAAAGTCCATGTCTTCTCCTTTGAAAATTATAGGACGCTTGTGCAAGAGACCATGTGAAGGAAGCTCGTATCTGAAGGCTGCCATGAGTGACAATTCATCCCTTTCGAGACAGTGGAAATGGGAAGGGTCTAGATAACGAATAAAATGCAGTCCCACCCTCAAAGTGCCACATCCAATCTCTAAAACAAGGTCACCTGGCTTCAATTTAACGGAGCTTCCAAGAAATTCAAACACATCCCGCCCTCCTGCCCAAGGCTCTCCATAGTTGCTGTGGTGCTCCTCTACAAGAAGTTCCCCGGGGCAAGGTAGAGCTGTGTGATCATTCGTGCCATCTTCATAGTGTGAAATTCCCTTGAACCTGTCAAGAAAATCCTCATAATACCTTAGAGAGAGATCAAGCTCAAAAACCACGGAAGTATTTATGTTAAAGGAATGCATAAAACAGAAACTTACTACCTGCTTGCAACAATATTTGTGAGTTTCAAAGGTAAAATATAATATAAAGTAGAATTAATACATTCACATTCCAAAACAAAGGGAGACATTAAAAAAAAGTAGAATTAATACATTTAAAATTATACAAATTGGATCATATAACTGACATCCATATTTTATTCACTATACATTCAATTGGGAAGGCCAACTAAATTTTGGTGATGACCTTTTTTTATTTTACAGATTTTTGGGCTACTTTCTAATTGAAGATTTTGATAACAAACTGATTCTCCTATTCTATTAGGTGTATAACTATTCATGATCAATCGATAAAGATCAATAGAAATTGATTTCATGATATGACCATGACCATTTTTGCAAAAATAGGGGGTTTCCTTTATTTCTTCATATTTGTAGCAGTTACCAACGTTTAGCTTTTCTTTTTTATTTTTTGTGTATCTGCAAAAACAGCAATGCATCCATTTTACGCATTAGACAACCATATATCCATACTTACAACCAGAGAGCAATATCTTTTATAACTCGATTATAGAAAGGAAACAAAAGAGTAAGACCAAAGGTTTGCAAACCCATAGGAGGAAGAATCTTTACAATAACTATTAGGAGTATAAGGACCTGAAGGGAATGTAATGCAACCAAACCAACAATGAAGAAAATAATCCCACCAAACCACGTGGAAAACAAAAGAGGTAGCATTCGCCATATTCGTGTGTGACTATAAAACGTTCTAGGATATTTATGGCGTTCACTCCACATTACCTATCAAACTATGAATTACTTTAACATCCAAACAATTTATTTGCACATGAGTAATTGGATTTTGTGGCCATGATAACACTGAACTGGCATTTCAGTTCAGGTTTTGAACAATCACAGGCAGAATTCCACATGATTTTATGCAAATTGTCAAAACTGATTAAAAAAAGAGCGATGATTCAACTATAACTCAAGGCAACATTACACTTCTCATTGTCAACTAGGGTATTTGAGGTCAACTTCATGAAAAATGTTCAAGTAACGCCTTCTATTTCCAGGCTAAAACCATAAAAAAGCATGAATTTTACTGACTGATGCTTACCACTCCAACAAAAAAAAGTATGAAACTCACAATAATGACTAAGAAAAGCGTCATATTTAATCGAAAAGCAATATCTGGTTCTGCACTTCCCAAACAGACTGGACAAAAACATTGATAAAACAATCCTATTTCTCTAAATGCACCAAAATTAATACAGAAAAAAGATATTCAGGACGTAAATGGAACATAAACCTGCCATAAAACCAGATATCACAAAACCCTATTTCTCTGCAAATGCCCATAAAAACCCTGGTAATCAATTCAGCACTCCCTAAATGCGAATTAAAGTACTTACTTGGTGAGATCTTCAAGCTGTTGAGCTCGAGTGCGAGGATTGATCCCCTTTCGAAGAGCATGCCAACCTTCTGTTGTGTTGGGTGGTTCTCCCAAACTATTTCTCTGCAACTGATCCTTCACCCATTCTATATCTTCCCTTGAAGGTCCAATAGGTTCAATGGCTCCCTGAAACTGGATCTCGCCATGGTTTTCTCTCTCACTGTATTCTTTAGACTGAGTGATGGAATTAATACCTCCCTGAAACTGGATCTGGCCATTATCTACTCTGTTGAGGTTCCTAGGGTTAGTGTAACATATAGAAGGGAGGTCGAAGAAAACAGGGACAAAGAGACAGAGAAAGAGAAAAAGAACGAGAGCTGATCCAGCAAATAAAATGGGCACAGATAAGGCTTTGGAAACCATTGCTTTTAGGAAGCAGCATAGAGAGAGAGTGTGCGCTGCCCAGTGAGTTGGTTGGGTTGGAAGTTTGGAACGATGAATTAATGATTTGGATGCAAGCAAATAGATATGGGGAAAAGTGATAGAGCGTTGCAGGAATTAAAGATGCAACTCAATAATCATGAAAAGTTGTTTTAAATGTTAAAAAATAAACTCGAGATATATGAATATCAAATAATAATAATAATAATTATTGAATCCCATACATCTTGCATCGTAATTTTTAGACCAATCATTTTTTAGATTTCCATATGTTTATATATCGTTGATTTTAACTATTGGAGTTTAATTTTTTATAATTATATATGAATATAGATTTTAAGATAAGGGTGTGGTTTCTATAAGGTTGCAACCTTAAACAATCCAATTAAAGTGTTTTAAATTTGATCATAACATATAAATTTGATATATAATTCTTAGGATTATCTCAAAATCAATTTTCATTTATAATTATAAAATTTTAAACTACAAAAATGGTTAAAATCAAATAGATCTATAAATATATGAAAATTTTGAAAATTGACGATCTAGATTAGTGTGTTGTGAGATGTTTTTTCATACTCATACATATCAATGTCAAGATGCTCAATTAGAGGGTTTTTCAATATTAAAACAACTTTTTCCCGATATACTTTTTAGGTGCATCCATAGTTCTACATTTGAAGGTTGCAACCTTATATAAACTTTTTCCTGAAGATAATCTTGAGATTTTTTACACCAAAAGTTTATGTTATGATAAATTTTGGAGGTGCGCCTTTTTCAGATTGTTTAATACTGCAACCACACCCAACAAATATTATTTCCTATTCTCGACACTGTAACTTCATGGGAAAACTATTCCCCAAATATTGAAATCCATTTTTTTCCAGTGCATTTTGATGCCGAGATTATTAATTTGAGGATTTTATATCAAAACAATCTCTTCTAGTGAAATTTTTGAGGAGCGTTTTGATTTGATTATTTAGAGCCCCGCACTTATGTAAACATTTTTTATAATTAAAACATCCGGGGCATGTGTGTTTTATGTAATTTCAATTTTTTTGCCCTTTATACTTTTTTTGGTAGTTCGACATAGTGGGAATCCAACTTAAGTTGCCACCCCGCCTCTATATATGCTAAATAATGAGACAAGCAATGGGTACATGTAATGAATATTCTATCAGACATTTTTTTGTTATTTCGAAATCACATGAGTAAGGGTACTCTATCTAGGCCACTAGTCAAAATGGTTGCAATTAGATTTAAAAAACTAAACTAAAATAAGTATAATGGTTTAAAGCAAAAATGTAAATTTTTTATTTAATTTATTTAATAGAAATGATTGATCAAAATCTGTCACCCCAACCAGCCAAAACTAATCAAACATAAATTTTATAAATTTTTTAATTTATTTTAGACCAAACAAATTAAGGAGGGTCGGCCTAATTGGATTTAGTGATCTACCATGGTCTTCATAACCTTGCTCTTGTAACTTTGCTGGACCTTTTAGGTGGTTAAATTACTAAAATGCTCAACATGTAAAAGTAAACACGGGCGAATTTACCCATCAATGACGGTACTTTTTAAGGAAATACGATAAAAAAAAAACAAGTAGACCCTCGGGAGGATATTTAGACCCATTATTGATTTTGTAAGGCTTTTTATTTGTGAGACGAAATTTCCCACTTAGAAACATGGATAATTGTTTTATGCAGGAAAACATTTCTATATTTGCAGTTCCCGATGTATAAAAGTATTAATCTTAAAGATTTGACACAAAGGTGGTCCATCTAAAAATAATTGAAATTTATTTTAAATGTTTTTTTAATATAATTGTTATTTAGAATTTTCAACATTTATTTATTTTTTTGTATCCATGATCTCCATGTTAGGGATTCTACATCCGTTAAAATTAAGTCCAAAAATCCATCTTAAAACTAGATTTTTAAGAGGTGACTAATTTTTATATGGACTCATAAAAACCACGTCCTAAAAACATACATATGATAAAATTTCAAAGGTGAGGTTTGTATAAGGTGGCACTAAAATTTTACAAGTGAGGTTTGTACAAGGCATCCTTAAAACATTACCGTCAAATTTCGTACGTGAGGTTTGTACAAAAGTTTTTGAAGCTAAAGTTATATCTTATAATAAAGTTTGAAAGTGTGCCTTATTTTAAAGGGTGCAGTTTTTATAAGATTGCGACCTTATACAATCCAATTAAGACGCACCTCCAAAATTTATCGTAACATGTAATTTTGGTGTAAATACTTATTAGGATTACCTGAAAATCTATTTTCATACAAAATTATAATTTTTAAACTCCAAAAATAATCAAAATCAATTAGATCTATAAATATATGAAAATACTGAAAATAGATGGTTGAGATAATATATTGCAAGATGCACTATGACTCAAAATCTTTTTTTTTGTTTGTTTCATACTCATATATCTTAATGTCGAGATGATCAATTAGAAGGTTTTTATTCTCTGATGGATTTTGTAGGTGCATATGTAATTATACATTTTAAGGTTGCAACCTTATATAAACTTTTTTCTACTTTAAAGGGTGTGCTTTCTACAAGGTTGCAACCTTAAACAATCCAATTAAGGCACACTTCCATATTTTATCATAACATGTAATTCTATTATAAAATTATTACGATTGTCTTCAAATCTATTTTCATATCTAATTAGAAAATTTTAAATTCAAAAAATCGGTTAAAATCGAGGAGATCTATAAACATATGAAAATCTTACAAAATGGATGGTCTAGAAAATGTGTTGTC